ATCAGCTTTGATGTCTGTTGCAACGATGTCCCCAATTCATGTGTTCGGGCTTTACAAAAGAACGAAGGTAAGCCAATTCGGAACAATAAATGAGCTCACAAAGTGCGAGTGAACTCTCGGTGTTGAGTGTAAGATTTCACGGGAACAACATGGAGATAAAGGAGTCCAAATCTGCTGCAGATGTCAGTGCTTAGATGTAGAAATGCAAATGTTTAGATAAAAAATGAAAGGATGGGCATGAAAGAATGCCTTGCCATGCTTGTGTGCGAGGCATGAGTGAGAGGAAGGAAGAGTTTGGGGACGTGTTTAGTCGGCTGCGAGTACGCCTTATTGTCAGAGCGCATGTGCTTATGTGGTTACCCATCTGACAAACTCTGTGTACCTTCCACTCATCAGAACTATTGATGGCCAAGCCTTTTTGACGGAAAATGATGTTTATGGAAGCTTTTAAGGCAGCAGCGACTTGAAAGTGGTGCATTTTTTGGTGAGAGTATCTAAGAGCCTTGGTATGTGCATTTATTACCTACTGACTTGCACATTCACAGGCTTTTTTCCCAATCGTCGTTCGCCTTATGTCTACCTTCCCTTCGTAGCGCTTTCCTCTTCGCCCTCTTCCTCCTTACTCTCAGTGGTCTGAGAAGGAAGAAGATTGGGGCGCTACTTTGTAAGTTCAGTCCATAAGTGTGGTGGCACAGCTCTGATTTGCAAACCAGTCGTGTGGAAGCGCCCCACGGTACCAGAAGAGTCGTCCTCTCCCTACCTCTACCACCATCCTCTGCAAAGTCATATGCAAACGTTGAGTTCACTGTGGACAACTTGTTTTAGCCCATGCAGCGAATTTTATCGAGGCGTTTGTTGGAAGTGAGGGAAATGCGACAACCAGCATTGCACTAGCAGTTGCCCTCGTCACATTTTTCACACATCTAATCGGCGAGACAAACACGACCGCATTGAGGCCTGCCTCTTCTTCACTCACTTCAGACCAACTTATCCGACGCTGTTGCTCCTGCCTAGTGCGGTGAGATGAGGCATCGTATTGAGCCAACACACCGCCATGACACGTTGGAGTGAGACCAAAGTATTCAACCGTGTCAAAGACAGCTACGTACCATCGTGTCATCTCGTCCTCATTGCCATTGCCATCAAAGAGTCGCGTCAACCATTCACAGCTCCTCTCACATCCACGTCCACAACTCCGTTTGTCAAGTCTACATCAGGTAAAGCAACACCTCCCGTAGACGCCACGAAAAGCAATCGGTTCGAGGTGCTGAAACAAGTCCCACAAGCGTCGCAAAATAGAGACCCTCCGGTGCGTAGACTTCTCTCCACATCAAACAAGCAAGACGTGGCACATGAATGTCCATCCCAATCCTGCAAGTGGGCCTAACCACAACAGATGCAGCTGGTCTGCACTATATCGCGTCATGAGTAGATACGGTTGCAACTCAGATTTCGTAAGATAGTGCACTATCGTGGATGAGTCCGCCAATTTCATCGCTCAACATAAAATTGTGCAGTCTGCCACGCTCAGGCCTACTATGTTGACCGGCAACGCTCACCACTGCGAGTACAACGCTACTCACACTCGATGATGGGTTGTTATTTTAGCGAGTGCGGATTGTGCTTGGGACAGACTAACTTGGGAGAAGAGATCGGCCTCACTGAAGTGGCTTGTATTGAGTTCAACGTAAAGAAAGTGGCCACTTATGAGGATGGTGAATTATGAGTTTGGATTGTGAGTTAGTGAAATGACGACGGGTCGAAAGAGAAGTGCCAAATTTCACGCATCTTTACCTACTTACTATTTGGAGTTCGCTTTTACTTATGCCTGTGTGAGGAGAGGTCTAGAGATGAGGACTTGTGGTGGAGGGAAGCGACGTGGCTGTCGGTGGAGCCTGAGAGCTCTGAGCAATCTGCTCAGGGCGGTTGATCCAAGGATTGCAACATAAT